AGACAGACATCCCTAAAAATTTGGTGTGGGAACTGGGGCTATTTAAGTAAAACATGATCCAAGAAGGCTGATAAAAATCAGATTATAGGACTAAGTGAGAGAATAAAGCAGTTATCTCAGAGCCTAGCCCAGGATAAGCACTCAACTAAAGGTAGTCTCTTTTATAATTTAGGGAGCAATTTCCTGACCCTTCTTTACCTATTTGAACTTCAAGGGCTCACGATCTACTTGCAAATAATGATATAATCATTTATTTATTCTACTAACATTTATCAAGTTCCTTCTATGCATTAGGTAAGTTAAATAATTTCAGGCAGTAGTGATTTTCATAGCCAATGTTATTGAGGGTGTACTATATGCTAGGTACTGTGCTAACTGCTTTACTGGTCTTGTTTCATTCAATCTTCACAACAGTCTAAGGAAGGAACGATTATATTTCCACATTACCAATGAGGAACCTGAGGCGAAGTGAGGTTAGGTGACTTGCTCAGACCACATAGCTAGCCAGTGGGAGAGCCAAGGTTTGAACCTAGGTAGTCGGTTTTGGTGCACGCTTTTAAGCTCCACACCAGGCTGTGTTTGAATGTAACTGACATGCGTGTGAACTACTGCATACCAACAAGGAGGAATCCAGAGAGGAGGGTCATGGGGCCAACAATATGGGTAGGATTGTCTCTTATTTTTTCTGATACCTTCTATACCATTTCTAGCTATGGGCTCTCAAGCTGGAGTGGCATCAGAATCCCAACATTTATTTCTGTGCAAAGCTCCTTGTCAGCTGATCTGAGTTCTCCCATAATGACTGTGTCCACCATTAGCAAGGGGAAGGAGGAAAATGAAGAGAGGAAAAGTCCCAATGAAACGACCAACAGATAAATAGAAGCTGACTATTGTGCTATAATGAAACACAACAGCAATAAATAAATCAATCACTTGGGGGGTGGGGAATGGCTTTCCCATAATCAGTTATTAAAGGCTTGTATCACTAATTAGTCTATTAATTAAAACTGTTCTCATCCTTCTGCAAGTTATCAGCCTGCTAAGGCAGAGAAAACTCAGCCCCCAGGGCAGAAGATAAGAGAAATAAGAAGCAGCAGATTCAAACAGCTGGGCATGTGTATGTTTTAAAAGCACAGTTCTTAGTGCCTGGGGCAAATCCACCTGCTACTAGAAAAGCAACGTTTATCAAAAACCGAAAGGCTGTTGTCTTTGTTGAACAGAAAAGGGAAAAAAATGATTTAATCTTTAAAGAGAAGAACCATCATAACCACACACAGGGGACCTGTGAAGGGCAGTTCCACTGGGTGTTCCCTGGGGCATTGGACACAGTGAGAAACAAACATGCTTTGTGCAAAGGCAGTGTTATTAGAAGACCCAGGATCATGGGGACTCTATGCCCTGATGCTGAAGAGTGCACATCTTAGGTAAGTAAACACATACTGAGTTCCTACTATGTGCCAGGCACCACCTTCATACTTTATGTTGCTAATATCCTGTTTGATTATTTCACTGACATTCTTAGAGTGCCCTAGAGTTACTACTGTGAGGTCCCCAAAAGGAGCCTCAGATGAGCCCTCACAGCTGGGGTCAGCAAAAATGGTTGCTCTGTTCTTCCCCTTCCTCCCGGTTCTCCATGGTCCAAGTCCCCTGCCCACCAAGAGCTTGGAATAGCTTCTTATCACAGGGACTCATACAAACTGTGTCATATAAACTCAAAGGACTCTGAAACTCACAAGTCATTCTTGAACAGTTCAAACAGGCTCTGAGCCCCACAGCTCTCCACGTCCCTGGGAGGTCACAGTAGGGAGGTCTGTGGCCTTCGTAGTCCTTTCCTATCTTTTCTGGCCCCTCAGCTCTTCTCCATCCTCCCCCAGTTACCAAACGGACATTTCCATGCACTCAAATGAAAACTAGCAGACACAAGGTGGAGTGTTGGAGGCAGGTGTCTCCACTAGCAATGGCCCACTGGCAGCTGTTCTGTTATTTTGTGTAACTTGCACAACAGCCATGTGATTATTGATCCCATTTTGCAGAATGGGGAAACTGTAGCTCAGAGGGGTTAAGTCATTTGGTCAGGCTTCCACAGGCAGTGACAAAGCACCTAGCAAGAGCTCAGGAAATATCTTCTGACAGGCGGTATCAGAAATATGAAGGTGTCCAGCTTCTGGGAACCTCAGAGCCAGCAGAGGTCCAAACACATGGTGCGAAATGGCTATCAGTCAAGGTAACCTTGCCAGGGTGGGAGAAACGGAAGAGATGGGGAGTACAAAGTCAGTCCCAAGGTCAATTGCTTTTGACCCCACTCCCTTCTGCCCTAAAGCTGTTGTTATTACTTTATACCAACAAATCATCACCACCACCACCACCCAAAGACCCTTCAGAAATGGTAAGCGGTGACATTTGCAAGCTGCATGATCCACAAGATGTCAACATGCACGTGTCACAACATTGCTTCTTAGTTTGGTGATGAAGGCAGGGGCAGTGGGGATGTGTGGAGAGAGCCTGGGCTTGGGACCCAGTGACAAGCCTCTGTTCCCTGGCAGCTAGCTAAGTGATCTTATGCAAATTGCTTTACATTGTCCTCCTTCAGTTTCCTCTTATGCAAAGTGGGAAAATGACAGTTGCCTATCTAAAGTGTTATTGTGAGGATCAAGGGAAGTAATATAACACTGCTATTATATGTAATATATGTGACATATAATAATATAATGCTGCTATCTATAATATATAGTACATATATATGATAGAGAGAACGTCAAAATTATAGGCACTTCCACATATATCTCTGGCAACTTTCACAGGAAAACTGAGGATTATTATCCCCATTTTTTCAGTTGAGAAAATCACTGCATTTACCCCAGCATTCTCATCTGAGTCTGTGTCACGTTCAAAGCTTTCATTCACTCAATAATTACGTGCTGTGTTCCTACCTGGCACTGGGCATTTTTCTAGGGACTGGGGATACTACTGCAAAGCTCCTAGTGTGACAGGGAAAGTAGACATACGTAAGGGGGGCATAATACTGTGCAATGCATGCCATAGAAGGAAAAAAACAGGGTGGCATAAGAGGAGACAGTGGGGAAACATGAAGAATGAGTAGTACGTAGCCGCATAAAAAGTCAGGAAAGGGCTGTCACCTCAAGGTGGGAAAGAGCATGATGTTTTGGATGAGGGAAGCATAGAAAGTAAGAGGGGAGTGGTAAGGCAGGAGGCTGGAGGGTTAGTGAGGCTCAGAGCTTGGAGGCGTAGTGAGCTGGGTGAAGGAGTTTGGACCTCATTCTTAGTAAATGTGGAGGTACCTACGGGTTTTAAGCAGGAAAGTGAGTCATATTTTTGGAAGATATTTCTGGCTGGGATGTGCAGACTGAATCTAAGCTGGTGAGACTGGAGGTAGGTAGGTAGGCCAGTTAGGATGGAGGCAGATGCAGAAATTCAGGCAAGAAACAGTGATGGTCTGAGCTCAAGATGGGGCCATGGGCCTGGAAAGAATTCGAAATAGATTAAACTCATAAAATCAGACTGTGGTGATTGATGGGAATGTGCATGGAGGGAGGGAAATGAGATGGAGTCAAGGGTGACATCCAGCTTGTTTCTGGCATGTGCAACTGGTGGGTGATTGTGTTCTTTATTGGACTAGAGGACACTGGCTGTAGAACATCTGGTATCTGGCAGGTGTATCCTGCATGAACTTGTAGCCCAACCTCATCCAGGGACCTCTAAATTATGGCTGTCTTACCCAGAAGAAGAGGAATGCATAGAAAGATGCTGCCAACTTGAGACTTCTGTTTGCCAGTTGCCAAGGTGTGCCTGTGATGGGTAGATGGTGGTGGTGGAGCATCAAGGCAGAGGAGGAGTGTTGGGTTCCTCTGGAATAAAGTCATTCATCTCCCTAGGCCTCCTGTGGACCTCCTATTTTTGCACCCCAACTTCCTTTGAGTATTTAAGAGCTTTTTGTCAAGGGTATACCATGTAATGCACGTTAGTAGCTGCAAAGGGGGAAACTGACTCTAAAAGAGTTTATAATCTAGAAGAAACAATAAGAAAACCAACCACAAAAATAGCTATAGGTTCTCACGTATAGCGTTAACAGACTTAAATGGCATAAAGGACATGCTCCTAGAAAACACAGGTCATAGATGGCCTTCTGAGTGGGAAAATCAGGGAGGAAAAGACTGAGAGCTGGTCTTAAAAGAGAGGTGGGGTTTCTATAGGCAGAAATGCAGGATTGGGGTATGGAGCAGAAGTTCCTGAAGGAGGAAACAGCATGAGCAAAGATAGCAGACTCGGGTAGTCACCAGCTCAGTCTCCTGCCATTTCAGGGCATCTGCACAGAAGGAGTTCTTAAGCTGGGGTCCATGGAGCTTTGAGCTGTGAGAATTCTGACTATGCAAAATTGTACTGATGTATGCACGTGCGCTTTCTTGGAGAGAGGGCCCACGGCCCTTTTCCATTTCTCAAAGGGTATATAGCTGAAAAAAAGTTTCAGAAACAGTACTCTAAATCTCCCAAATTAGAATTTACAGGTGGGCTGGGTCTTTAAAAGTAATGCTGTCTGGGAAAGTGACCTGTGCACACCTCATATTTCTAGACAGGACCGAGGAGGCCCTGGAATGTCAGCCTCCCCAGCTTCCTGCCCTTTGCCCCCGCGCTGATCCCCACCATTTTGTAACAGTAGTCACCACCCTCACCAGTCTGCGTTGCCCTGAGAGAGACATGGAAGGAAGGTCAAAGGAAGGGGTGGGGGAATCAGGGAACGTCCTTCAGAGACAAGGTGGGTGGGAGACGTTCTGCCCTAAGGCTGGAGATGGTCAGAACGGCCAGTATGTCCTCCAACCCTCAGCAAACAGATGGTGAAGTTCTGGCAACGTCCAAATCAGTCGGCTGGGCTGCGTCAGATTTTCCCGGACGCCAGAGTGCCGTGCCCAACCGCGGCCGCTGGGTGGCGCGGCGCCGGGCGCCGAGCGTGGGAAGCGCGGGCGCGCGAGCGGGCTGAGCTCACACGCTGGGGCAGCGGCGGCGGTGGGGTTGGCGTCCGCAGCGGCTGCGCATCTCGCACCTCCCGCGGGGCGCCCGCGGGACGGCAGCACGGGTGGCGCAGTACCCTAGGAAGGAAGCCGCTGCAGGAGGTGAGAGCAGAGCTTCGGTCAGGTGGGTGGGTGCACCGCCGGCCAGGCCTGCAGGCGGGCTCGTAGAGCCCCGGGGCAGGGGTGGGCCCCTGGGGGCGATGCTCCGGGCAGGGCTGAGCTCTGGCCGTGCTCCACCCCCGCTGCGGTGCGCGTCCGGGCGCAGCTGCCCTTGCCGCGTGGGGGATGTGGATCCGGGCCTGGAGGAGGCTCCGGAGGTCTCCCGGCTCTGGGGCGGGGGCCAGCGGGGCGGGGGTGGTGGAGGGACAGCCCCCTGGGGCGGCCCGAGAGCCCGTACCCACTCCCCACCTTGCGTTGCTTCGCTCCGCAGTGGGCGTGGTGCCCCTTTGCTGCAGAGGGGGCGCCCGGAGTTGTGGAAGGCTGTGGGGGATGGAGAGCGCAGAGACAGGTGGTTGAGGGGGCGAGGGATGGTGCGCAAAGCGCTCGTGATACTAATGCGTATTTCTCTCTCCCCCCCTTCCTCAGGGGGTGCAGAGGTGCGTATGGAAGAGGAGGCGGGAAGGCCAGAGGCTTAGTTCGGGAGAGGGCAGGTGCTGCGGGAAATGCCATTTGGCTCTGTCTCTGTCCGGCACCCCCTCCCGCCCCCCCAAATATTAATAAAGTGGGTGTGATGGTGAGAGTGGAGGAGTTTGATGAAGACCTCGCCTAGAATTTGCCCAAACTACCCAAGCCAGATGCCTGGCTCCTGCATGCATATCCGGGAGCCCCATACTCAGAGCACTGTACAGGGACTTGGGGTAGGGGGGCGGGAATGCCGTAGATTCAAGCTCTAGCAATAGAGCCAGCTCTGGAGATAGGGGCTGACAGGGAGGGAGAGAATGAGGGAGGCCGGGGGCAGTCTCCAGGCTTACAGCCCCAAGTCCATAGATGGTGGGTTGGTCAGAATATGGTGGGAGACAGGGGGCTTGTGGAAATTGGGTAATGCCCTTATGTCCCACTCCTTTTAGCTTTATTTGTAGCCATAGACACAAAATTTGGGATTCATTATTTTCCAAATGTGTACAATTTTTTTCTTTCCCTTTCGATTTGTTTTGTTTTTTAGAGGAACAGCAAATGACAGACCAGAGGGACAGAGGGACGGCTGGCCTAGCCAATCCTGGAGCTGCTGCAGCACTTTTCCCCAAACAAACCCATTCTAGTGCAAGGACAGAGAGGAGGGGGCTGCTGGCTCACACCCCCTCTCCTGCCTGTGGCCCCCTGGCTGCTCCCCTGTGGGAAGGGCAGCCTGGCCACCGTAGGCTGAATGAATAGAGACTGCCATGGGCCAGGGTGGTGATGGTGCCGCGGCCCCTCCCTGTTGCCCAGCGTGGGAAGAAGAATGCAGAGCCAGGCAAGTCTCTCTCTGTGTCGTCTGGGGTGGAAGGAGCAGGTATAGACAGGGCCGGGGCAGCCAGGGCCTGGTGTTGCTTTGGCATTGGTGGTAAGAAGGCTGTTACTTCCAGCCCCTTGGGTTTGGTTCCACCCCTGGCCTGTCTCTGGCGCTATGTGCTTATTGGTGCCACCATGTTATATAACGCTTATATAATCTCCCAGGGCATGTACTCTGTCTCTGCTCTCAGGTCACACAGACACTGTGTCCATGGGGGAGGCAGGATCTGTGGAAGCTTCTGGGTGGATATACTCCCTCCATTCTCAATCCCACCTGGCTTTTCTCCTGATCCCGGGCATAGGAGGGGGAATGCAGAACAGGTGCCCACTCCACACCAGCTGCCTGGGGCCAAGGAAGAGGGGTTGGCTGGGCAGGCTTCCTCACCTTCTTGCTCTCCAGTCCCTGTTGCCCCAGGGACTGTCAGGTGGAGTGGATGCCACTCTTGTGCTTTGAGGTCAGCTTTTTGTTCTTGGGGTCCCCTGGTGTGGCACATGGGTGTGGTGACCCTCAGAATGTTGCTGAGGAAGCATATGTGGTTCATAGTGGTGGATAAAGAGAGGCAGAAATTAGCTCTACCTTTGAGGTTTTGAGCAAGAGTGACTAGAAGGATGGTGGTAGCAGTGTAAGAAATTTGGTGCAGGCCTTGGGGCTGGGGAAAAGTCAGGGAAGGGTGTATAGGGAAGTGGATCAGAAAGCAAAGATAAACATGGTGTTCTTTTACTGTACTCTCCACTGGGCTGTCCCTGGTTACCAGGGCAACAGAAGCAGTGATGAAAATCATGCCTTTCGTTCAGTGGAAAAATCTGGCTCCTCCTCCTGCCTCTGCCTTCTCTAATCGCCTGTGACCCATTGGGTGGGTGATGGCTCCAGAGATCAGAGACCTCAGCATATTTTCGTCATACCCTCTTTCCCCAATTTTTAAAAATGATCTCCCCACTTCCCGCATCCCCTGTCTCCCCCAGAGCTGGGCAGTTGTATAGGAGTTGGAGTGGATGGAGGGGGAAGGGCGTGGACGTCATTGCAGAGCAGGAGAGCAGAGATGTGGATGCAGGAGTGATGGGCACACAAAGAGGGTCAGGCACCCATCAGCTTGAAGCAACTTGTTTCTGAGATGGTAGGAGCTGTGGGTAGGAAGGAGCTGTGGGTAGGAAGGGTGGGTGGGATGATGGAGGTCTGCAGAGCCCGGCACTCTGGACTCACCGTAGTTGAAATAGGAAGGCCCTGAGGTTTCTTGTGTGGTCATGGCTCCTGATGAAAGCTAGGATTCAGTCATTCATCATTTATTGGGTACCTGCCATGTTAGGTCAGGTTCTAGGAGCTGGGAAGACAGATCAAGGACTGGACCTTGACCTTGAAGAGGAGGAAGGGAATATGGGGGAAGATCAGCCTGGCCTTGTTTCAAGCTTAGACTCGGCCCCAGGCAGAAGACTGGCAGCACACCAGACTGGAGTGATGGATGAGGTGGGGCCTATGAGAATGCAGAGAAGAGGTGGTTCAAAGAGCCACTTTGGCTTGAGGACAGGACATGGTGGGGAGCAGGTGCTGAAATTTTGAACCTTAGTGATTGAGAGAAATAGAAAAATCAGGGTTCAAACTTCGTTGGAGGAGTCATGTTTGTTTTGGTTTTAGACATGTTGTCTTCAAGACGGTGGCCAGGCATCTGGACAGATATGCTTATGGTCAGGCAAATAAAGTTTGCAAGGGAAGTCAATTCTGGAAGGAGGTTTGGAGGAAATTGTTGTGAAGCCTTGAAGGTGCAAGGTTGCAGCAAAAGCATCTAGAGAGAGACCCCAGGGCCTGTGGCACTGGCCTCGCATTGGGTAAGGCTGTATGCGGTGGACTTGTTTATCATCCCAGGGCCCACCCCAGGGCCCACCCAGACTGCTGGACCAGTTTCCGCTCAGGAACACTCACCCACGTTTCCTATCAAACTGTGGCCCCTTTCATACTCTGGTTTCTCTTCAGAATGAACAAATCTTTCACCTTTTACCAAACCACACCCCCTTTTGAAGTTCACGTTTCTAAGTTTTCTTTTCCTTAATAACTATGCCCAGGAGGATATGTCCTGGAAAGATAGATAAAATTACCCCTTCCAAACTCTGTCCTTGGCCTTTGCTCTACCATTCACTTAGAAGTCGCTGAGAGTCCCCAGGATGTGGTAAAGACGCGTCACAGGTCCGTACGTGATCTCCACCAGCAAGGCTGATGGTTCTGGTTCTTTTTCAGTCCCCCACTCTTGGGGTCCCACAAGAATTTTTAAAACATGTAACACCTGACTATTCAGTGAGGGATGCTGACCTCTTTTCCCTTAGATTGTCACATTAAAAAAACATGACAACAGCCAACATAACAATAGCTGTCTGGTGGGAATGCTCTGTCTTGAACCATACGTATATAGATCATGTAATAGAGTTGTACCTTATTGGTCATGTTGCATAATAAAGTATCTGGTTGGTTAATTCTCGGTACCAGAAATCCTTATATATAAGTATAGATACTTGATTTTTTTAAAAAAAGTGGAGCAAAAAGGGTAGGTAATGACTACTAACTTTGTTTGTAAATCAAAATTACACCTATTTTTGTCATATCAGTGAAAAGTATATTTCTTGGCATGCCACAGAATTTTAGCAGTTAGTTTATGTGTGCCATGAGCAGAAACAGGGTGAAAATCACTGCTCTAGAGGAGTAGGAGCACCTGGCAGAGTCAGGAGCCTTTGCCAGGTACATGGTCACTTCCAGCAAGTCACTTCCTTTTCCAAACCTTACTGCCTGGTGTAAGAGGTGCAGTTATTTCCAGCTTTAAAACCTTTGGATTTGATGTCCAAAGCTTTTATTATAACTCCTTAGCTCAGGTTTCTGATGCAAGCCAGACTTTTCTTTTCCAGCAAGCAGCCCGAATTTCTTTGGTGTCTTGTGACAGGGAGTAGCAGAAATGAAGGCCTGGTCCCCAGGTAGGACCCTGTCTCCAAAGTGGGTGGGAGCCCTCCAGGTGGAAGGTGACCTCTATTCCTCTTGGTACTTGGAAGTGGAAAAACAAGAAGATCGGGAGTCGGCAAATTACAACCTGTGGGCCAGATGCCTGCCTTTGTAAATAAAGTTTTATGGATCACAGACAGGCTGATTGTTTATTTGTCCGTGACTGCTTTCATGCTGCTTTGGTGTAGTCGAGTGTAGCAGGTCCTGTAGTAATGTTTTGTTCGATGTTGTTTTTATCATAATGTCATTGAGGATTAAAAAATCGATTTCTGGCTGGGGCCACTGCCTGTGCAGAGTCTGCATGCTCTCCGCACGTCTCCGTGGGTTTTCTCGGTGCTCCGGTTTCCTCCCGCATCCCAGAGATGTGACCCTGAGATGGACTGGTGTGTCTGGATTGTCCCACTCTGAGTGAGTGTGGGTGTGAGTGGCCCTGCAGTGGAAGGGCGTCCTGTCCAGGCAGGGGTCCCGCCTTGCTCCCTGAGCTTCTGGGAGAGGCTCCAGTCACCCATGACCCTGAATGGGAACAGGCAGGTTGGAAAATAATGATCCTTCTTGTTTGTATTCATCTTTCTTAAATGTATGTATAGCTCACACTTATTTCAATGTTTAATATTAGAAGCGTTTTGGGTCTTTAAAGTTTGGTGATGATATTGTGACCAGAAATAAGTCTTAGGATTTAACTCTTATTTATATCAGTTAGCCTATTGTGAAATCGGTTTTGTTATACATCATTTTGGTTAAAATCGTAGTTTCCAAGAACCTATCCGTGACTTTAAGTGAGGACTTGCTGTAGTTGGAACAGAGACCATGTGACCTGCAAGCCTAAACTATTGACTGTCTTGCCCTTTAAGAAACGGTTGCCAGCCCTGCCATCTGCCACCACAAAAGTGCTTGCATCTTCACTGGGGATGCTTACTGTGGCCGGTTCAGATTCCTAAAGTTCTTGAAGAGTCTGCCCTGGGTCTACTTTGGTGATCCCATGAGGGGATGATGTGGCAGTTGAGATAGTAGGTTTCTGTAGTCCGCCTGAGGACAGTATCTGGGATCTGGGAGACCCCTTTCATTTTCAGTCCTATCTCTGGAACCTGGAGGGTGTCACCCCAACCTTCTCCCACGCACACTTCTCTGGGCCTAGAGGCCTGAATTCCTCACAGGGGTGGGGTATGGCCTTAATGTGACGAGGTGGCCTCTCTCTCATTTCCCAGGGCCCTGCAGAGAGTGGACAAACCCAAACCCAGTTTCTGGTAAGGGGAAGGAGAGGGTCACTGGTTTTGCTGAGTCCTGCAGCCTGTTTTTCTTGATGTCTTTGCTTTGTCACTTCCGGTCTCATTGTCTCTTTAGTGCCAAAGCCTTGGAGATGCAGCTGCAGCGAGGGCTTGCGACCCAGCCTGGTGTGTCGGCCCGAACCTGGCGCTCATCCACTCTGGGAACAAGGCCCTGCGGCTTGGAGTTGGTGGGGTGTGTGTCTGTGTTGGCTTGGGACCAGAATCTCTAGTCACTGTCCTTGTAACCAGCCTTTGCGGAGTCCCCTTGTGTCCTGGCTTCCACCTTTTTTGACTTGGTCCTCAAGCTGGAGTCTTGTTGAAACTCCTGGCAGGAACAGGACTAATTTAAAGCTCTTGCTTTTACAAAACAGCAGCACAACAATCTGCTTGCTTCTGTTCAGGGCTGAGCTGGTGGCAGAGGGAAACTGTGTGCTGGGAGCAGCGGGTGGCAGGGGGTGCCTGAGGTTTATTACCATCGCAGTTGGAAGGGAGGAGGGTGGCAGAGCGAGGAGGGAGCATGCAACCCAGAATAGCAAAGAACAGCAGCTAAGCACACTTGGAGTTGCTTCTAGCTGGTAATGGTAAGCCTTGTGCTAGGAGTCTTACTTAACGTGAACCTCCCCTACACTTCCCCAGAGGCCATCAGCCATCGAGGCGGGGCAGGGAAAGGTCCTCATCAAAACCGTCCTCTGGATACCTTTCTATGTAGAGTTTAGGGTGACCT